GATTTGATCAAAACACCTTATATACATGTATGAAATTCTCAATAAAGTTTTTGTAAAAATTTTAAAAAAAGACGGTATTTCAAAGAGAAAAGTTCTATGAGTGCAGGGAGTTAACTTCAGCTTGGCAGTGTAGATGAAAGTGAAGTTGTCACTCATGAGTGTCTTTAACATTCTCTATTCACAGTAAACTGCAGTACTTAATCTCCGCAATGCTTTCTGAAGTGTGAGGTAGCAAGCGATTAGCACCTACACACTAGAAACACTTGTATGCAATTTTTATAGCATGCTGTTTCCACCTGGCTACATAAAATGAATACAAAGCTCTTGATCCTGTGTCCTTTAATGTAAAATACTTAAAACTGTTAAAATTGTTCTCTTTTATTTATTTATTTTTATTTTATGTATACAAATATTATGCCTGCATGTATGTAAGTGCACCCATGTTGTGCAGTGTCCACAGAGAACAGAAATGGGCTTCAGATCCCTTAGAACTGAAGTTACAGACAGTTGCTAGCCACCATGTGGGTACTGGGATTTAAACTCGGGTCTTCTTCAAGAGTAGCCACTGCTCTTAACCACTGAGCCTAACCACTGAGCCATCATCTCTCCAGTCCCCTCAAAATGTTCTTTACCGTGTGTTTATAAGTGACCATGCAGAACTGAAAATATGTTTTATAAGATTCGCTTTTAATTCAGTACTAAAAGGATTTTCAAAGCTTTGGAATCAAGATCAATTCATGCGGCTTATCTTTGGTTGACTGTCTTAGCAGTATGTGTTGTTTTAGTGGGTGAGTACATGAAATGAAAATGTTATACTCTAAAGCCTTAAATTACTGTCCTTGGAAAATTAATGAGAGTAAAGCTGAGGTTACTTTATTCATATCTTAGAGTAAGGCCATGATAGAAGGGAAACCCAAAATTGCTTTTCTTAATAGAACGAACTGTAAAATGTAGTCCAAGACCAAATACCCTTGAAAACTTTCCAAAAAGCTTTCTGTAAAAGTAACATTGCTTTTCAAGACTGGACTGTTGCAACATGGGATTTTTCGTGGCTTATTCTTATAAATAAGCTCTTCCTAATTCTGGGAGTAATGCTGCATCCCTGTAATCCCAGCACTCAAGAGACTGAGGGAGGAGGAATTCGAGTTCAAGGTCAGCCTGGGCTATATAGTGAGAGACACTGTATAGGTGGTTAATGCTGGGTGTGGTGGTACACACCTTTGCTTCCTGCACTCTGGAGTCCAGGGGGGCAGAGGCAAGTGACTCTGTGAGACCGAGGCCAGCTTGATCTCCATAGTGAGTTCCAGGCTAGCTGGGGCTACAGGGAGACCCTATCTCAAGAAAAAGGAAAAAAAAAAAAAAGACAGTCAAATAAGCTCTTCCTTCATTTCCACGAGAGTCTGCCACTGTCAGCAGGGAGTGTATGCCCTGAGTCCTCTTGGATGTCTCCATTCCCAAAAACTTCAAAGGAAGATGTGAAAACTATAGTCTATATTGTCTCACTCTGCCCTTGAATCAGAGAAAACTTTCTGCCATTACAAAATACACTTCACAACATGAAGCAGGATCACAGGTGGGTGGTGGTCACTTTAAACACAGAAAGATGTCCTCTGTGCAAAGCAAAAGGTTGATGAGACATCATTCAGATAACGTAATATTCTGTTAGGACAGTTAAGACTAGTCTTAGGGATTGCTGTGGAATAATGGCCTAGCTTCAGTTGCCTGAGTTCAATCAGAAGATGTAAAATGAAGAACTTAGACATGCCTGAGTGTGTAAACACCAGTGTACTTTCCCAGGAAAGTGGAAAGAAGCAAAAATAAGGTATGTAGAGGCAGCATCATATGAAGAAGAACAAAGACAGTGGCACAGCCATGGTCTGATTGCCATGGAGAAGTCTCCTGGAGTATCACATCTCAATCCATACTGAGCAATAAACCAGAGTATCTGTTTACTGTGTGGTCTAAGAAGAGAAACTGTTTCAAGAGTGAAAAGGAGATAGACTATGGATCAAAGTCCTCAATAATGGACATCCTTTTTGGGAGGGGTTATTTATTTTTATTTTATATGTATGACTATTTTGCCTAAATGTTTAGTGTACCCATGTTGTGTGATGCCCATTGGAGGCCAGAAGAGGGTGCTGGATCCCCTGAAACTGGAGTTAAGAATGGTCGTTAGTCACCATGTGGGTGCTGGGAATCAAACTTAGGTCCTCTGCAAGAAGAGCTAGTGCTCTTAACCACTGAGTTATCTTTCCAGCCCCAAGAATAATGGGCATTTATAATACTAGCACTCGGGAGGCTAAGGCAGGAGGCTTGTCTCAAGTTTGAAGTCAGCGTGGGCTACATAGTGAATCCTAAGACCAACCTGGGCTGTATCAAGAGACTCTGTCTCAAAAAAAAAAACAAGCTATAATCTCATATTCGTTTTGTGGGGGGGAGGGTGGTGGGAAGGAGTATATGTGTGTACATGTATACAGAGAACAGATCAGCCTTAGGTACAACATTCCTCAAAAGTCAGCCACCTTGATTTTTTGAGATAAGGTCTCTCACTGGGACTTGGGGCTCATTGATTAGGCTAGGCTGACTAGTGAACCTCAAGAATTCACCTGTGTCTGCTTCTCTAGTGCTAGAACGACAAGAGCTCACCACAACATCCAACTTTTTACATGGATGTTAAAGACTGAACTCAGGTCCTCATGCTTAAATGACAAACACTTCATCCAGCAAGCTGGCTATCCCATCCCTTCATATTCTTTCTGATTCTAAGAAATCTATTTTGTTTATTTAAAGGTATTTTAAAGATGTTGATTAGAAACTCCTAATTGATTTTTGTGTCTAGTCTTTTCATAAATTTCTTTGGACAATTCCTTTTCCTCAGTTCTGGCTTTTTTATTTCTAGAATAGATCCACAGGACCTGGTGGATTAGAACTGGCCCCAAAGTGCTATAAGTCCAAAGAAAGAGGGCCAAACAGATCCAGAATTACATGGAGTCCAATTTATTAGGAATCTTGCAGAAAAGTGTGGACTTAGGTGACAGTAACACCCAGGTCCTTTTGGACCCCTGCAGTTTAGGTCAGAAATTTGTGGTGTATTTACAGGTTAGGACAAAAAAGTGTCCATCTTGTTAGATTGCACCTGGTTTATATTAAGATAATACCAAAGGCTCAGGGACATGCTTGCAGCAGGGACTGATAATAGAGCTTGATGACTTCAGTGGTTTTATCTGTTTATGGTGTGCTGGGAAACTGCAGGGAAGTCCCGCTACTGCTACTTATAGGCAGTCATGGAGGTTATATCTTAAGACAGCTGCAGGTATGTCAAGCTGAATTCATACACTGACAAAATGGATATGAGGCTCAGTTGCCAAAATACAAAATAAGGACATGGCTAAAAGGCTTAATGGAGATTTGCGGAAAAATAAATAGTCTAGAATTGGAAGCAGAAATAATTGAAAAGCATCAGGCTACAGCAGGAGGTAGCAATCATAGAAATGACAATGTGTGGAAGCCAGAAAACCGCTTCTAGGTCTGGAAAACTAACTGTGAGATTTAACCGTTTTTCACATAGGTATTTGAGAGATTGATTGGATAAAAATTTTTAGGTGTTGAATATGTAAGCCTACCTCATTAATTATCTGTTCATGGCTGCTGTCTCATAGCCAGTTCTGGAAGAGTATCGTGCTTTTGTTTTGTTTTGTTTTGTTTGAGACAGGTTCTTAGTACATATTATGTAGCACAGTCTGGCTTGGAACTTAAAATCCTCCTGCCTCAGCCTCCTGAATGAGTGTATTGCCTGCATATATGGACATGCACCCGTATAGTGCAGTGCTCACAGAGGTCAGAAGAGGGCGTTGGATCGCCTGGAACTGGAGTTAAGGACAGTTTTTAGCCGCCATGTGTGTGCTGGGATTCCAACCCAGGTCTTCTGCAAGAGCAGTCAGTGCTCTTAACCACTGAGCCATCTCTCCAGCCCTGGAAGATTCTTTAAGTATCTGAAGGAAGATAGAAGAATGCATAGCCCAGTCCAGTGCCTTGTGGTCTGTACTGTTGGATGTGGAGCCTTAGAAACTTAAGAGCTCTACCTCAACCTGCATGTGACTCTAGGAAGTATACCACAGCCCGTAGTGATGAGCACCTGGCATCTAGGGACGAGGTTATTAAATTGCTTAATAATCTTGGAAAAGTTATTGAATATCTATAAGCATCTAAACTATCAAACGAAAAGAAGAAAAAACTAGGTCACATCAGTCTCCATCAAACCCTCCCGTGGCTTTCTATCTCATTTAGGGTAGAATCCGATTTACTGAAGCTAACGAGGCCTCACATAATCTGGCCCTTGCCTACCCCATCAATCTGATTTATTGTCATAAATATTGTATTCATAACCAGTACCCAAAAGACCATTTCAGTTTGATTATATGACTCTCCTGCTTCTCTGGTCCTAACAGCAGATACCTATTCATTATTGCATTCGCAAAACCTAGGACAGTGTGGGTCATAAAGTAAGTGCTCATTATCTGTTTGTTTGCTGAATGAATCAATCCATGCTGTGGCGTGTGAAACACATAAAAGAAGCCTGATAACTGATAAGCACACTCTAAGTATTTGCTGCTACTGTTACCATTATCTAATTTGTGTATTATAGTTTCTGTATGATTTTATTAAAAACACATCTACTACCAAAATACAAGCCTACAATTAATGTATTATTAAAGGGAACATAATTCTATTTAAATGATCTTTGATCCAGACTGTTACTGGCAAGATAAAGACAAATCGTAAAATTCTTCACTCTTCTGATTTGATATGGTTAGGATCGTTTATCTACAACTTCAAACAAGCAGGACCAAAAGGAAAAGAATCAAGACCATTCCTTATGGAAGAATGGAGAAGCCCGTTTAATCAAATGAAAGTGGATGGATTGCTGAGTTCACTGAAAAAGCATAACACAGTGACTGGAAAGAATGCTGAAGTTCTGTTTTATTCCCATGTCTACCCAGGTGTTGCCATATCTGCAAACTTCCGGGAAGAGTCATGGGGATCCGAGTGCTTCGATTCTCCTTGGTGGTCATCCTGGTATTGCTACTCGTAGCTGGGGCTTTGACCAACTTACTTCCCAATATCAAAGAAGACAAGATGCTTACTTTGCGCAGGGAAATAAAATCCCAGAGCAAGCCCACCCTGGATTCTTTCACTCTCATCATGCAGACATACAACAGAACAGATCTTTTGTTAAGACTCCTAAATCATTATCAGGCAGTGCCACATCTACACAAAGTAATCGTAGTATGGAACAATGTCGGAGAGAAGGGACCAGAGGAGTTATGGAATTCTCTAGGGCCTCACCCTGTCCCTGTGATCTTCAAGCCACAGACAGCTAACAAAATGAGAAATAGACTCCAGGTCTTCCCTGAACTGGAAACCAGTGGTGAGTTGCAGCTGGGCTGAGTCTGGAAGGGCCTGGGTGGGTGGGTGTGTGCATGTCTGCCTTTCTGTTCTTTTAACTGTCTGGAGAAATGCGGGAGAAGTTTGTCATAAGAAAGTACTTTGAAATGCTTAAAAAGCAGCTTCCAAGATTTCAAGAAGCAGTTTCCTGGGGAGGAAATTGCAAACAGGTTACAACAATTTTTTTTTAAAGATATACTATATGGCATAGCATATAGAGAGTGTATATTATCACGTTACAGCATTACAGGAAAAAATAAAATGCCCCTCAGCTTACGCTTAATATATTTTTGTCACTCCCTTCCTCCCATTTGTAACAATTCTTGAAGGTATAATTTGCTTAAAGAAACTTGATTTTATTTATTTTAAGATTCGTTAGTTTCTGAGTTGATGGATGGTAATTACATGATGACTTCTCCCTTCAGGCAGGTTATAAAATCAATTATAATTCAAAAAAGTTTTCTACTAGACAAATCTAAGAAAATTTTTTATTTGCTAATTGGGTTAGAAAATACTTTATTTTGAATGGTCTCTGTAGGCATCACTGTATTACTGATTTTTGCTTTCATTTACAAACTGTTCAATGTACATTTTTCCCTTTTTGTTGCAGCGGTTTTAATGGTAGACGATGATACTCTCATTAGTGCCCAGGACCTTGTTTTTGCTTTCTCGATTTGGCAGGTAATGTTACTATACCCTTTATGAAACTACCAGGATAAAGTTGAGTCTATCTAATACTTAAGCAGGCCAGCATGGTTTAACATGGGGACTGCTGGAACAGTAAAGGTAGTACCTAAAACAGATGAAATTGTTATAGGCTAATCAGGATTTTTCTGCTCTTAAGCCAATCTGAAACATTTTGGTATATTAGAAAGAAAAATGGGAATTGCATTCCCAAGAACAGTGAAAGAACCTGGTACAGCCAAGAGTAGAATACAGACAAACCATTTGTCTCAAATGGAAAAAATGCATTTGTGTATTAATTGTGGGTAACTTTTTATAAAAGAGAACATTTACTGTGTCAATAAAATTTTATCTTAGGTTGAGAAATTCTTCAGTAATAATTCTGTGTATACCATTGTGGCCTGGTGTTTCCAAAATCCCAGCTTGAATGAGCAGGCATAAATCACTCACTAGCTCTCCAACTGAACACATACTATTAGTGGCTGACTTTTACAAGCTGCACTATAAATCACTTGAATTCAAAACTGCATGCAGATCTTCTGAAGCCTGGAAGTGATTAAACACTGTGCTATCCATCCTATAGATATCTGATTTACACTGTAGTAACTCTCCTTACTTGAGACATAGCAACATAAGATATGAACAGTAGGTGGTGACAGTGCCCTGCAGATACCAGCCTTCTAAAAGCTGCGATTTTTGACTTCTTACCTAACACATTGATCAACAAATTGATCTTTTTTTTCCACATTAGCAGTTTTCCTCAGCCTTGTAAATAAAAGCTTCTTAGGAAAAAAGTTCTAATATTAATACTTCGGCTATGAGATATCTATTTAAGGGTTTTTAATAAAAAGAAAAAAAAAAACAGAACACTTTACCCCAAATATAAAGATAGAGTCAGGTAGACTATATGACTATGATTAATGAGAACAATCTCAGTAAAAGTATGAAGAAATATAAATGTAATTTTAAGTTTTATTCAAAAAAGGTCCCAAACCATTTCAGTGCATTGACTAAGATTATCTGACTGTATAGAGTCTGATCAGTGCTCTGTGTCTCTTAATAATTTGGAGCGTGTGTGTGTGTGTGTGTGTGTGTGTGTGTGTGTGTGTGTGTATGTGTGTGTGTGTGTCCTTATCTTTGATAGATGAAACTCAAACTGTGAGTGAAATTCAAATTGTTTACAAGAATGAATTTAAACTTTCCAACCCTATAAATTCTTGCCTTTTTTCATTTCAATGTTTTTCTTAGTTTGCTGTTTTTTATCTTCAGTAACTCTCGCCTTAGTGTGATTGCTTTTGCTACTATCTATTCTTTCTTCAAAATTCTTGACACATCCTCATGACTTTATTTAATTATTTCGTATTTTTGAAAAACAAAAACCTAAATCTGAAAGGGCCTAAAATATAGCATTGTTTAAAATCAGTAGTGACTTTCAAGAACATTAAATCAACAGGGGAAGAAAATAATGTGGAAAAGTAGTAAAATTCATATTGATCTATAATTTTTTATATAAGCCTAAGAGGTTAGAACAGCTTTCCAAAATGATCACATTACATCTTGTCCCCTATAATAAATAATGTTCATGAAGTCAACTTTTCTTTTAGCAAATGTTGAAGGACTAGAGCCTTTGGTGATTAAACTCTGTTAATATTTGTTGAATATTTTTAAGGTTAGAATTTTTTTCAACTTTCAGAGAGATTTTGGTTGTGATAGACTTTAACCTGTAAACTTATCCGGAAACAGATTTATGAAGTTTTCCAGGATTAGATGACATTAGGATATAGAAATAGGGAAATAAGAAATAAGGAAAATAAAGTTGAAAATCAGTTTCATTCTGTAGTAAATAAACATTGTATCTATGTCTTCTCTAAAGAAATGCCACAGTTAATTGTTCTTTTCCTTCTCTTTCAGCAATTTCCTGATCAAATCATAGGATTTGTTCCTAGAAAGCATGTCGCCACTTCATCAAGTGTCTACAGTTATGGGGGTTTTGAACTACAGACACCTGGGTTTGGAAACGGCGACCAGTACTCCATGGTGCTGATTGGAGCCTCGTTCTTCAATAGCAAGTACCTTGAACTCTTTCAGAGACAACCCACAGCCGTCCATGCTCTGATAGATGAGACCCAAAACTGTGATGATATTGCTATGAATTTTATCATCACCAAGCACACTGGGAAAGCATCAGGAATATTTGTAAAACCTATAAACATGGTCAATTTGGAGAAAGAAACCAATGGCTATTCTGGAATGTGGCATCGGGCTGAGCATTTCCTACAGAGATCTTACTGTATAAATAAGCTTGTTAATATCTATGATGGCATGCCCTTAAAATACTCCAACATTATGATTTCACAATTTGGATTTCCATATGCCAATCACAAAAGTAAAATGTGAATGGAAAATAAACAAAAACAAATCTGAACGCCTGCTCTGTGTTTGAGTGGCTTCTCCATGCTGTGTATTTTTGTTTTTTAAGCAACACCGTGAACTTTTATCTAGTCCAGAAGTCCCTACAATAGAAAACTATTATGTACTACTTCTAGTATATAAAACTCATGAACTTTGAAGAACCAAGAAGCTGGTCTGTCCCCATAGGCCTTGTGAAAACCTTCTGTCCCAGGTTATGACTCTGATCAGTGATTTTCTTGTTTACATGTTGAGACTGTTCTACAATTTATTTGATCCCTGGCATTTGCCTTAAGGACCTACAGGAAGCTGCTTCCAGGACCAGAAACTCTTTTAAGAGACCTTTCCTAGCTTTTTCACTGAAGGTTGTTTGAATTTGAAGCCTGAAATGCTACTTCAGCATAAGCCTGAGGTACAGGGAAAAGCCATGTGAGGAGAGGGTAGCCTGAGCCCCAGGTGGCGCACAAGGAAAGCTCCTGGTTGCCGGTGCTTCCTTCACTGTCCTTCCAGCCAGAGTTCTTCTGACCAGCATGGTTTGGATGATGCCGTCAGTGCTGGTATTTTTGTTGTTTAAGCTTGTTGTGACTGGGAGGGTAAGTTTTCGTAGCTGACCGATGTCTAGCTGTTTGCTTGATGTTTTTGTGAGCCTTCACTGCATGGATCTCTACAAAATGCAGCTCGTGTTTCTTATATGCAACCTACATGCAGCAAGGGTAAATGTTACTGCTCTTTGTCGCTGTGTCTGTCCTTGAGAATGTACATGAATTCGTATATTTTATAGAATGTGTTTAATAAATATGGATAAAATAACTTCCAAAAGAATGACTGGTTAAGTAGAAGCTAGCAGAAGTTAAAAACCTTAGGATCAAAAGCTCTTTATTATTGAAGTATAGGTTATTTTGTGGATACTAAATAACTGTGTGCATTACACAGAAATGCTTGCATCCAGAATCAAGACCTTTTTTTTTCACAAAGACCCAAGGCACTATCAATTGTGATGAAATTTCAGTTACATAATTGCAGGAAAAAAGAAAAGAAGTGAACCACAGTGAGGAATTCTATGGTGAGTCCACTGGGTGTTAGCTGCTGTGGTTGACACTTCCTATTATGGGAATCAGTGTCACCCCTACCCAGTGTCCTTTCGGTGAGTCCTTGACCATCACAACTGACAAGGAATTCTTAATTGGGCCTCTGTCTACTGTCTATCACTTGTATTCTCTTTATATAATTCCTGGATGTTCTCAAAATTGCAGAAGTGTGAGATAGTAAAATAATCATGGTTAAAATTGCAATCATGAGGTCTTTGTGCAGTTAGTTCAGTTTATGTTGTTCTTCCACGATGGCCTGTCTGTGTATGTCTTAATGCAATCATTTTTTTAAAAAAAGATTTGGAACCTCATTGAAAATCATGTCAGTTATCTGCTTTCTTCAAACTTGTCAAGTTTTTTTTTTTTGTTTGTTTTGGTTTTGCCTCTTGGTAGTCCACTATGGAATAAATAAAATAAACTTTAGCCATTCAGATATTCAGTGGTGGCTAAGCAAGCTGCTTCTGTGGTGTTTTTACATATTTCTACATACTCTAATATATTACTCAAAATGAAGTAGAGGGCAGGAGAATTGCCATGACTTCAAGACCAGCCCCACTATACAGTGAGACACTGTCTCAAAATATATGTATATAATATATTTCTTTTTGAGATAGGAATAAAAGTAAAAGCCCCCACCCAATTAACAATGGCTTTGATGTATATTTCCAGATTTCTCTGAACTTATTTTTTAAAATACTCATCAGAGAAGATTTCCTTTTAAATTTTACTTTACATTTATTTATTCTGTGTGTCTGCCTGTGCACACATACACAAGGCATAGGACAATTTGTGGGAGTCAGTTCTCTTCTTGCACAGTGTGGCAAACTGCAGTCTTCAGGCTTGGCAGCGCATGCCTTTACTGTCTGCACCATCTGTCCAACCCCGGACATATGTTTGAATTGCATCATTTATTTGATATTTTGTTATATGAGTAAACCATAGTCATAATATTAATAATCATGCTACCATTTTGCTCACAAATTTTTGCTATTATAATAGTGTTTAGGTAAGCATCCTTACCTTACATACATATCTTTGAGCAAATCTGTAATTATTTTAAAATGGAGTTCAACAGAGTTGAGCACCTGTATCTATCGAGTGGTATTCATGTTTTTACAGGTTTTGATGTACATTGCTAAATGCCTCCAGAAGTGTTGCCATGGCAGCACTATTAATATCCCATCTGGGAACACCTGTTTCCAATCAGCCTTCTCAACACCAGTTTCATTTTTCTGTCATTTATTTCACATACAAGATACTTGAATGCTACAGGATTTAAAAGGCTTCTCGTTTGCAGAATTTTATATTGAAAAGGCAGATAAGGAACAGTCCAGTGAAAGTTCAAAGGGCAGCGTAAGCTGGAAGCCTGTGAAGTGCTTCTAGAAACCACTTCAAGGTCAATAGCTTGCTGAACCTTTCATGGTTCCATCTTAGATTATTGAGAAGCAACAAAAAATGTTCAATTTATTTTCCTTTGGAAAGATCTATAGGAGTGAATGTATGAGAGGGAGGTAGGGTCTGTGCAGGTACCATGTGCATTTGGAGAGGGAAGGATATGGGAAGGGAGAGGGAACACACACACACACACACACACACACACACACACACACACTTTTTTTCTTGGTTTGTAGCCTAGCCTGGTCTTTTAATTCAATCTATAATCCAGACTGACCTTGAATCTACAATATTCCTGCCTCAGCCTCCCAGTTGCTGGGATTCCAGGCCTGGGTCATCAGGCCAGGCTCTAGGAGGATATGTAGGTAAAGGATTTATCTAACCAGGAGGTGACTCTTGAACTGCTTTTCTATCTCAGCGGTTCTTTTATTTCAAAGAGAAAACGTTAAGCACCTGATTGGAATGTTTTAAGTAGTTGTATTTTTTTTTAAATCAAAAGAAAGCAGTCTTATTTTATACCAGGTCTTAACCTGAACTGGTGTGGGGGCGGGGGAATGTATGTGTTTCCAGGGAGCATCTGGCAAGTGGCGGAAATTTTTTGGTGTTATAACTAGAGGCAGAGTAATTGCCTCTGGTGTGTAAAGGTCAGAGATGTCGCTAAGCACCCTACAATACACAGGGCAGGTCCTGTTGAGAAAACACATACTTGCATCTCTTTGTGGACTAATTGGTTATTAATGTATCTAGACAGCATGCTTTTTCACAATGCATCTTGCATTTCTAAAGTTTTGCCCGTGTAATAAAAGCCTATTGGAACAAAAACTTGAGGGGGAAAATGCTTATGTGACTGAGAAGACATTTGATACATGATGCTATGACCCCCATCCCGTTCATTTGGCTAGCCTGGGCTACATGAAACCCCATTTGGTGCATGATGCTGTGACCCCCATCCTGTTCATTTGGGACACGATGCTGTGACCCCCATCCTGTTCATTTGGTACGTGATGCTGCACACCCCCCCATCCTGTTCTGAAAGCCAGAACTTTCTCTCGTTAAGGCTTATTTCTGGCTATTTTTTTCCTCTGATCCACATACCTCTTTCTGTTCTCACCTCTGAAGACCTGACAGTGCAGCTTAATTTTTCTGGGAAGAACTTTGAAGAAATACATATTTCTGAAGCACCAGAGAACAGCATTGTGTAATACATGGTCTATTTGAATAACATGTCTATAGTTAGAGAAAGCTGGCATAATTGAGTTGGAATAAGCTAAATATAAAATCTAAAGCATGTTTAAGTTTATATATTACTGATTTAAATAACAAACTTAAGCAATATACATCTAGCAAAGGATCCCATAATGGGGGAATCAGGGAGCTGTTTTCATACAACCAGCAAGGTAGCCAAGTTGTTTAAATTTATTTGTGTCTTCCACATTTATAAAAGAGAAAGACAAACTAAATGATCAGCAAATTTCTTTCCAATTATAAAATTCTATGACTCTAAAGAAAAGTTTTGAATTCATTAGTCTTAAAAAGTAGAAGGCATGGGCTTGGGCTGTAGCTCAATTGGTGCAGTGCCGGCTTAGCATGCATGCATAAACTGCATGTGAGGGCACATGCCTGTACTCCCAGCACTCAGGCGATAGAGGCAAGAGGATCAGGAGTTCAAGTTCTTGGCTACATGGCAAGTTTGAGGCTAGCCTGGGCTACATGAAACCCTATGTTATAAAAACAAAAATAGTAGCAACCGTGTTATGCCTCCTCAAAAGTGAAACTACTACCCTGGAATATCACCCTGGAGCGTGGTCTTCTCGTTACAGACTAGGCCCATCGGCTGGGAGCACCATCTTAAAATGATTCTGACTTAAACACTGCACTGTGTTGTAGTGTTTCAGTATGGAACATTGCCTGACAGTGAGCTGGAAGAGGTCATCACTGTATATACTTTACTCCTTAATAACTTCTGTTTGAAAGCTAGCCAAGGAGAGTTGCCCCAGACTAACCACATGAATCAATTTGAACTGTCAGTCATAAATATGAAATACAGTCATTAATGTATTAAACTCAGAATGCAAATACAAGTTTTAAAGACCAAAGTATTCCTCATAACGCAGTTTTTATACATTTTCTTCCTTACCAGCAGGTGTCAGTACAGCCCAATAAGCTAACATTTCTATCAGTTTCAACACTGATCAGCAAACTGAGCAAAGCGTTATATTAGCAATGTAAACACCTACTGTTCATGGTTTTGATTGCGAATATCTTCTTCAGTGATCTATAGAGAAATAACAGATTTTCAATAGTTACTAAGTTAGAGCTTGTGAGTTGGCTCAGCCAGGAAAGGCATTTGCCACTATGCCTGATAACCAGAGTTTGATCCCTGGAAACTACACGGTAGAAGGAGAAGACAGACTCCCACAGATTGTTCTCTGACCTCCACATGCCATGACATGCATGAGGACATGCCCCCCATACACGTTAAATAAGTGTGAAAAAATGTTTAGTTAAAATGAATTCTGTTCTGACCTCCTCAGGCAAAAATGAATTCTGGCCTAGGTAGATCATATTAAATATGCCATAATATACATTAACATCATAGTTTATGTAATAACATTTCCAAGTGACATAAAGGGCATGATCTAAAACAAAATTCTAATGTGTAATAAAGAATTAGAATAGCACATCATTTTTTAAAATTCACACATCTCAAACAGTAGAAATGAAAGGAATTCATTTATCTCTGATATACACAACTCCTGAAGAAATGCCTTTCTAATCAATAATAGAACATTAATAGTGTGATATCATTTGTATTGTAGAATGCAGCCTTTTGCTTTTAGCAAAAGCTTATTTTAAAAAATATTTTGTTTATTATTTTTATTTTATGTGTATGCACATATTGCCTACATGTAGGTAAGTGCACCCATGTTGTACAATGCCTGCGGAGGACAGAAGAGGCTATTGGATCCCCTGGAACTGGAGTTATGGACAGTTGTTAGCTGCCATGTGGGTGCTGGGATTCAAACCCGGGTCCTCTGCAAGAGCAGTCAGTATTCTTAACCACTAAGCCATCTCTCCAGCCCCCAAAAGTGTATCTTTTAAAATAATTTTTTATTTATTCTTTGACAATTTCATGAATGTATATAATATATTTAGACCATACTCACCTCCCATTCCCCTCTCTTATGCCCCTCCCACTTTCTCTGGAACCCTGTTCTTCCCAAAATGTTTCCTCTCCTAATTTCAAGTCCTTATTTTAAATATTTTATTATCATTTTTGTTTGATATGCATGAGTGTATTGCCTGTATGTAAGTGTACCCGTGTTGTGCCATACCAACAGAGGTCAGAAGAGAGCGTCAGATCCCTTGGAACTGGAGTTATGGGCAGTTATTAGCCACCATGTAGGTACTGGGATTCAAACCCTGAGTCCTCTACAAGAGCAGTCAGGGCTCCCCAGCAGCACACACAATGCACTTACATACATCCAGCAAAGCATGCATACACATAAAAAGAAAACAAAAAGTGATAAAAGAACAAAAATTTAAATGTGTTTAGTATGAAGAATATGTGTGTAAAACTACTTTTGTAATGCAAAAGTCACCGTTTTTATAAAGTTAAACATGCATTTATCTTATAATAGCATTCCTGTGCCTAAATATTTACCAAGGAGATATGACGATATGTATCCATACAGTCATAAAAGTCTATGAAATGTTCATAATCATCAAAAGCCAAAAGTAGATGTGATATTGGCAAGACAGAATAGAATTGCCTGTCACTCATCGCCACCCCCCCCACCCCTGGAAAAGATCCACACAATAACCAGCTCTGTTCCAGCTGGAGTGACTGAGGAAGAACACAATGTAGAGTGGCACAGAGGTGCTGGGATCCAG